AGAAGAGAGGGAGGGAAGGCAGGCAGGTAGGTGGGAGCAGGATGCAATTTACTTCATTCATGGGAAAGTTTTGAAGCTCATTTATCTTCACTAGAATGGTCCACTTCTAGACTAGTGTATTTTCTCTTGAAATGGAAAGTAGAATCTGCTTTGAAAATATTTTAGATCCAAATCTCTACCTTGCTCTCTGGTGCACAGCTCTAAAGATGTAATCAGTACACCAGAAAGGCCTGGGCCAGAGCCCGGGGGGCAAATCTAGCTTTGCATAGAGGTAACCCTATAAAGTGCTCCTGTGTCACGCGGCTCAAAGGTATGCATCCCTGCTCTGTGTTGAGTTTATTGTTCTCCTGGGAGATACAAACATTAAGCAATGGATTTCTGAACTATGCCTGAGCTGCTGACCACAAAGAAAACACACGGGGTGCTGGACAAACAATTGATGAAGGCTAGGACTACAGGTATGGGGAACAGATGAAGTACTGAGTAAATGTTTACTGCTTATATGAGCACAGCCATGTCATGAACCTTAATGCCTCAGACCCATGGTACTGGTAAGGCCTTGCCCAGGTCAGGCTTGGAGGAATGGCGAGGTCTTCTTCTGGTCCTTGTACAAATGCCAATGGTGTGTACTGAAAGTATCGACCATGGCTTCCTCCTCTGGGGTGACTACAGCCTGAGACTGCTCTCCTACAAAGATCAGCTAACTTAACTCTTTTAGCAGTACATAATAAAACACACGGTGTGTCTGGACCGCAAGTGTATTTTCAGAGAGCATGGCCCATCCAATTCCATCTTTTTTGTACATCTATGAGTCTGTCATTTCTTCATTCCCTATCACCCCAATCAGGTCAATCCCAAAGCCATGCAGGTCATGGCATGTGGGTATCAGAGGCATCTATTTGCGAGAGCCCCATCCCAGCTGAGCTAAGTCAAACATCCTGGAATCATCTTAAGAGTCCTCAGTCTCGCCCACATCCATCTGTCGGCCTTTATATCAGTTGTTCCTCCTTCCAAAAGCATCCAGAATGTGACGGATTTGCAGTGCAGCTCTCACTTAAGACATTCCTGGCAGTGATAATCTTCATCTCCCTGCCTCCATCCCTACTACAGTCTGTTCTCCACAGAGAAGCTGTCCTGATCCTTTTAAAACCCATCAGCAATTCATTCTCCAGCTCAGAATCCTCTAAAGACTCTAACTCACAAGAGAAAGGTTACAAGAGAGGGGATGGAGAGCTGGCTCCCTGGTTAAGAGTACTTGCTGTTCTTCTAGAAGACCCAGGTTTGATTCCCATCAGCCACAACCATCTGAAACTCCAGAGGACCCAATGCCCTCTTCTGACCTTGGTGGGCACCTGGGGTGCATGTGGTATACATACACACATGTAGGCAAACCACTCATACATATAAAATAATTTACAATGTTTTGAAGTTATGAGAATGTATCATGCACAGACTCTTCTCCCTCTCAATCACTCTGTATTGCTGTTTATGGAACAGGTCCAGCAGGCTATGCTCTGGGGTGGGGGCCTTTTCTGCCTGGGATACTGTTTCCTCAGATATCCCCAGGGCTTACTCTTTCAACTTCTGCAAGTGTTTGCTGTAGATGTGTCTTCTCAGTGGGACCTTCTCTGGTCACCCTCCCTACAAATCACATCTGGCATGACAGGTATGTGGCTTGTTTCCTGTCTGGTATCTGAGAGCTCCAGTTGGTTTATTCACTTCTGTACTGACCGTCTAGAACTCCACTTCCATAAATGAAGCAGGCACTCACTAAAGAATTCTGGGTGAATGAATGTACAGATCTGTAAAATGACATGAAATAAACTCATCTGAAGCAGAGGGACGGGCATGCTCAATGGTTCTGAGGAAGGAGAGCACAGACGAAGGCAGAGTCAAATGAAGTGATGCTGGGGCACAGTCAGAACAAGGAGGACCCTGCCAACTGGGTAAGGTCATTATCAATAGGAAACCATTAAGCCTGGAAGGGATATGATCCATCCAGTCTTTCACAGACGTCTGGCTTCACTATGACATACATATTAGAAGAAAGCGTGACCAAGGAAGCCCAGGAGGCAAACTAGTGCCTTAACTCAGATCACACCTCACCTCACCTTGCACTGAGAAACCAGAAGCAGAGGTGGGAAAAAAAAAAAGAAGAAGATTCCAGAAATACTTTGGGAGGAAAAATAACAGATCTAGGTAACAGACCATATAAATGGAGGACTTCCAAGACCATGTCTCCATGTTTTCCTGTGAACTGATGACCAGAGATCACTGTGCTGAGGGGTGGACAGCAGAGGAAGAACAGGCTAGGGTAATCTTTAGCAGGGGGTTAGCAGTAGGGCATCTGAGGCCATTCTGAGACATCTGAGTGGAGATTTCTAATTAGACAGATGTCTAGTAGAGAGTCAGCAGATCATAAGGCACAGTGGGTAAAACATCACACTGTATGTAGATATTTGTTCCTGTGGTTGATTGAGATCTGGAAGACTTTCAAGTGACAGGATGACATTTGTGACTATAAAAATGACCCTGACCAGCAGGCAGAATAAAGATACATATTCAGGGACTGAGGGAGGGAGGTGAAGAACTGGGCTGTGGTAAAGAGAGAGCTCCCGTGTCACCAGCCACCTCCTGCACAGCTAACAGAAGAGTGCTGCTAGACCATGTCGGTCCACCCACTTGCATCTCTGAGGACAGAGCCCACCCTCTGTGGGTCGTGCCATCATCCCTCTGCAGAATCCTCTCCTGCTGCCCTTTTCCACCTCTGGCAAGTTCCCCTAACATATTGCTCTGCCTCAATGTCCATGCTTCTTCTCATACCTGGCAGCCTCTGTGTATACCGTGAAGATTCACCTCTTCCACTGTGCAAGGAAAGCAGCCTTGACCTCTAGGAACTGGCTGGCTAGCATGAGCCAGGCCTTCATCTGAGGGTAGCTGGCTTGGCACCCACAGCAAGGCCATGCTATTTTCCTGCTGGACATAACAATCTTACAGAACACTAACACAAGGCATTCTGCAAGAGTAACAAATGGTGCAGAATATGTGCACAGCTGAATTCTAAGCACAAATTAAAGACAAGATCACTGTCTTAGTTTGCTTACTATTGCTGTGATAAAACACCATGACCAAAAACAACTTAGGGAGGAAAGGATTTTTTTGGCTTACATGCCCTGATCATAGTCTATCATAAATGAAAGTTGGGGTAAGCCCCAAAGCAGAAGCCCTGGAGGAACACTGCTTACTGGCTTGCTCTCCATGGCTTGCTCATCCTGCTTCCTTATATAACTCAGGATCACTTGCCCAGGGGTAGCACTGTCACTTGCTCATAGCGGGCTGGGCCCTCCTCCATCAATCATGAATCCAAAAAACGCCCCATAGATTTGCCTACAAGCCAAACTCACGGAAACATGTTTTCAATTGAGGTTCCTTCTTCCTAGATGACCCAAGCTTACATCAAGTTGACAAAAAACTAACTAGCACAGGCACTGTGTCACCTACAAAAATACCATCCCTCTCTCCCAGCTGACAATTTTTCTTTTACAGTTTCAATCCTTCTCCAGACAAACCTTCTAACACGCCTGAGTGTCCCACCCCAACAGAGCTGCCTGGCTCTTGAGCCACTGCAAATCTGTTTCGTGGACCCTCCTACAAACAACCCAGCGGAAGCACACATCCTAAGAAGTATTTCCTACCCCGTCTTATTGAAAGACTACAACTATTAAACTCATCTTCTCTGGCTACAGGTGTGCTCTACAGGACAAAAACAAATGTCACCACAGGAAAGGACTGTTAAGGCTCCTGGAGGGACATTAGTCAGTCCCACTTGAAGGCTTCTGTGGTCTTTGTAAGCAGTATACTGGGGCGGGGGGGGGGGGGGGTCAAGTTTGAAGTAGATACAGTTGTCATGAAATTTAGTCCCAGCTACTCATAAAACTGAGACAGAGGACAGGAGATCAAGACCTGTCTGGGCTACACAATGAAACCTTATCTCAAAAACAAACACACCAGGTGCTCGGGAGGTGGTTTAGAGGGCAAAAGTGCTTGACACACAAGCATGAGGGTCTGAGTTTTAACCCCCAGGACCCAGAACACACCCAAACAGCCAGACACCTAGCATGAGGATCTATAATCCCAGAGTTCCTAGCAAACAAAGCTCTTCCTGTGCAAGCAAAGTTTAGATCCCCAACATTCATGGAAAAAGCCAGAAACTGCAACTGCCACCTGGTTCTGAGGGAGATAGAGATAAGTAGACCCCTGGAGCTCACTGGTCCGAGAATTTAGCTGAATCTATGAGCTCCAGATTCAGTGAGAGACTCTTCCTCAAAAAATAAAGTGGACTACAACAGAGGAAGCCACCTGACATCCAACTCTGATGTCCACATGCACATACATGTGCACATGTGCCAGTACACAAATGAGCGCACACACATGTATATGCACACATGTGCATGAACAGACACAGACACAAACAGAATTTTTTAAAAAAGAGTAAGAGTGAGTTGTCCAGAGAAGCATACTATATAACAACCTGTTAGGGGAGCAGATAGGGCTAGCAGATACAAATTCACAGTAGTATCAAGTTGCCCTACTATGTGTTTTATAAGTATTCCAGGAAGAAATGAAACCAGAAGTTGTGACATTTCTCTGAGATCCACCATACCCAGCAGGACCACTCCTTGCTATTGTCTGCCTTCTAGCTACTCACCTACTCCACTCAAGAGGTCTACTAAGACCAAAGGACAAGAGATATGGGCACTGCCAATCAACTGCCAAAGGATGGACTGTGAACTTTAGGTTCTGACTTGAGGATAGGGAAAGCCATGATCCTGGGGAAAGTGGGCAGAGCTCCAATAACTAAGCCAACTGCAAAGGAGGAAGGCTGTACCCCAGGATGGAGATCCAGGATATCCTGGTGGGAAAGGGTGGTCACAAAGGATTCACTGGGCGCTTACAGGGACACTGAGCTCACCTAGGGGCTGTATCAAGAATTAAGGAAGGTGCTCCTTTCAGCAACACATAATCTAAAACTTCAACAACACAGAGGTTAGTATGGCCTTTGTGCAAAGAGGATACAAAAAGTTTTGAAGTGCTCCATATTTTGTACCCTTCCTAAAAAGGTTGTCTGACAACAACCAGCTGTGGGATTTGGAGAGGTTGCCCCAAGGCCCATGCCTAGAAAGAAGAAATAAGGAAGAATAGAAGAAGTGAGCCATGCACCCAAATCTTCAAGGAATCAGCTGAGTAACTGGGAAAGGGTAAAAAACAGCCATTGGGGAAGTGATCCAGCTGGACATAATGAACCTCAGAAAATGGGAAGGGTAACAAACAGCACCGAGAACACATCTCAAACACCTCATCCTTGGGGATACTAGAGGAGAAACAAGAGGGACCACTTAAGGCTTCAGGAAAGGACATCCATGGGGAAGCATCAACGTTCAGGCACAGCGAGTGGCTACAAGGAGGCTGATGAACTGAAGGGGGCTATTGAATATGGAGCACTCATCCCAGAGGAAATAGTGCAGCTATGGTGGACACTGGGGCACGGTAAACAAAAACCAGAGCAACTGGAGCAAGCATGATGAACATGAGGAGAAGACACATGCTGCTATAACAAAATAATTGGGCTTAGGACCTTAAAAGGCAAAGAGGTTCTTTTGGCAAATGATTCTGGCGGCTAGAAGTTCAAACAGCAAGGCAGCAGCCTGGCAAGGACCCCTTGACTGTGTCATAATGAGGTGGAGAATATCCCACTCTCACAACAACCAACCAAGTCCCAAAGAATGAGAACTCCTTCCTTCAAGAAATATAATATCCAGGGTTGGCGAGATGGTTAGTGTTAAAAGCAAGCATCTCAGCACACCCACAAAAAGCCAAGCCTGGTCTTGCACATTCGTGTAATCCCAGGGTAGGGTGCGAGGGCGACTGATGGGGCTTGTAGGTTGTAAACCGAGTTGGAAAACAAAAGCTCCTGGTTCAGCAAGAGACCCTGCCTCAAAGGAACAGGACATGATAAAGAATATTTACAACATCCTTTTCCAGTCTCCACATGTGTGCGCGCACACACACACAATACCAACATCCACAGACACACTAATATTCATACATATACACACCAAAAAGGAAAAAAAATGCATTGTCATTTTAAAGACCTCAACAGTTCTCAAAGGTACCCTCTCCCAACAGTGACACAACAGGAATCAAACCTTGTCAAACTGATTGGAGCTAAACCACATTCAACATCAGGGAGAGTCAGCTATGATGGTCAGTCTTCCACTGGCTGCTGCTATAGCAAATCAACTGGTAAACATAAACCTGACATATAGAGTGCGCCATGATGCTGATGGCTTGATGGCTCCAAGGGTGAAAGTGGCAACAATCTGAAACATCTGCTAGAGCCATTGCCGAAAACATTCCACATTCAATCCTCATCCAACCTCTGACACAGACAACATTTCAACACAACACATCACAACTTCATGTACATACCAAAGGAGGGAGCAAACCAAAACACAGTGACAGAACTGTAGGTGCCCTGGGAGGTGGGCGGACTTTGTAACTGTTGTTTCAGGATATGGTGCTATAACTCAGGGTGGCAGAAACCAGCCAGATCCACTGCTACTACATGGTCAGCAACTTCAATCAAAACAAAAATCCAAACTATTACCAGTAAGTTTTTGACAACTTCACTTTGTACCAAATTATCAATTGGTACATTTGCATCAATCTTTTGGCATCAATTATCTCACTTAATCCTCACATCCAAAAGATATGTTAACTGTATGATCCCCATATTTAGAGAGAGAGAGAGAGAGAGAGAGAAAGAGAGAGAGAGAGACTTAGACAAAAAGAATACTTTGTTCCTATGTCCCAAAAGCAATCATCAAGTGATATCACAACTTTTGGCAAATTGAAAAGTTTTATGTGACACAATGAAGATGCTGATCTCACAGGCAAGAATGGTTCAATAAGAAAAGGAGCTTGCAACCAAATCTGATGACCTGAGTTCAATCCTCAGGAGGGTAAAAGGAAAGAATTGACTCACCCTACAACAGCAGTTCTCAACCTGCAAGTTGCGACCCCTTGAGGGGGGTCAAATGACCCTGTCACAGGGGTTGCCTAAAACCACTGGAAAACACAGATATTTATAACACGATTCATAACAGTAGCAAATTTACAGTTATGAAGTAGCAGTGAAAATAATTTTATGGTGGGGGCTCACCACAACATGAGGAACTGTGTCAAAGGGCCGCAGCATCATGAAGGTTGAGGGCCACTGACTGCCCTACACTATCTGCTGACATACACGAAGTGAATAAATGTAATTTTTAAAAAAAATTCAAGGATGCTGATCACAGCATGACAAAAACCAAAGACACCGAATCCTTAAGTATACCTTAAGGATTAATTCATGGGGGCTGAAGAAATGGCTCAGTGGTTAAGATCAAATACTGAACCCCAAGTTCAACTCCCAGCACTCACACTGGGTGGTTTACAACTGCCTATAACTCCAGCTCTAGGGGACCGGACACCCTCTTCCGGCCTCTGCAGGCAACCCCTGCCAGCACAGTGTGAACTGACTTAGACACACAGATAGATGTTTTTAAAAATATACAGATTCTCATGATGAGGGCCCGGTGCAGAGAAGCTCTGAATGCATAACACAAGCACCCACTATATGCCCAACTACTCTAAAGACAATAAATACCACTAGATCTTCAAAAGCGCTTAAGAAACCAGCACTGTCATCTCCACTTTCTTTTGTGTTTTTTGTTTTGTACTGTGTGATATACACGTGTGTACCGGTATGTGCAGGTGTGTGTAACTAAGTATCACATGCATAGCCCTGAGGTTGGTGTTAGGTGTCTTCCTCTATCACTTTCCACTTTTTTTTTTTTTTTTTTTTTTTTTTTGGTTTTTTCGAGACAGGGTTTCTCTGTGTAGCTTTGCGCCTTTCCTGGAACTCACTTGGTAGCCCAGGCTGGCCTCGAACTCACAGAGATCCGCCTGGCTCTGCCTCCCGAGTGCTGGGATTAAAGGCGTGCGCCACCACCGCCCGGCCCACTTTATTTTTTGAGACAGGGTTTCTCACTGAACCTGGAACTTGCCAATTTGACTAGACTAGCTGGTCGTTAAGCTCCAGGGATCTCCTTGTCTCCACCTCCCTGGGCTGGGGTTACAGGCATGCCATGCCCAGTTTTTTTAATGGATGGTGGAGATATGGACTCAGGTCCACTTTACCAATAAAGCTATCTCCCAGCCCTACTTCAACCCTACTTCAGAGACAAGAAAACTAAGGCCAAGAAAAAAAAAAAAAAAGTTAGGGGGCTGGGGAGATGGCTCAGTGGGTAAGAATACTTTTTGTACAAGCGTGAGGACCTGAGTTGGATCCCCAGCACCAATTAAAAAGAAGGGCATGAGTGCACATACTTGTATCCCCAGAGCTGTGGGGAGAGGAAAGGGATGAGATTGCTGAGATTGCTAAGGTTTGCTACCTAGCCGGTCTAGCTAAAAAGGTGAGTCTCTGGTTCAGTGAGAGATCCTATCTCAAGGGAACAAGGCAGGGTGATAGAGCAGGACACCCAGCATCCCCCTCCAGCATCCACAGGTATATTCACCCACACATACATATGCGTGCACATACACCACAAACACACACATTTTTTAAAGTTAGGAACTTGCCCAAGTTTATACAGCTTGGGCAGAGTCTGGCTCCAGAATTGATGCTTTAAATCCCTATGCTTAGTTTCTAGGATCCTGCAAAAAGACTTCACTCAAAAGCTTGTATTCCCCACCCCATAATACCTCTCTGGCCCCCAGCTTACTCCTCCTATTCCAGGGCATTGTCCTAATTGTTCTAAAGCCCACACTCCGCCCTTGTTCTAAACATTGTCCTACTCCCCTGTTTCAGTCTTTTCCTGCCAGTTTAAACATCCCTGTATAAATTTCAAACTCTAAAGACGCTGCTGAATCTCCAAGAGCCCAACACTAAATGATGAGTGTTTCCTTCCAACTAGGCTGTGAGTCGTCTAGTAGGTCCACACCATGTCTGCTTTGTTCCTTAAGTATTCAAAATCACTGAAACCCTACCAATTAGCTCAAAGTAAAGACCTAGCACAATGTAATATCTCAATAACTTCGCTGCAAGAAAAAATTAATGAATGACATGCAAGCTTTGTGTTTTCTCTAGGCACACCTGCACTGGCAATGCCTCACCACCATCTGCTACCACTGCACAAATACTGTGGCATGTGTGTAGTACTGACTCTACAAACACACACTGCGGAGCCCAGGACCTACCATCTATCCTCACAGGCCTGAGTTTCAAGTGCACAGTGGGAAATCATGACCGATTTTAACAGGTTGTAACCTAAAGCAAAGAAAATTTGCATTTCCAACCCATCAACGCTGCAGTTAATACTTGCAACACACCCCGTCTTACCTGAAGGCCAAGATCAAGTAAGCTTTGTTCAGCTCCTTACTCCCAGTCGTGGTACCCCAGGTTCACTCACACACACACGCTCGGTAATTATAACTTAAATGAACCCCTCCCTGCTCGGTGCACTTCCCAGGTGTCAAGCGAGGGCCGCTCCAGGTGGGTGCGGCAGCTCCTTCCCAGTGTCCAAGCGTGTGCCTTGGACAGTGGCCCGTTTGCCACCTAGGCCCGGGACCCCGACGCCCATCCTGAACCCCGCGCCCCCAGGCACCTCTTGCAGAGAGAAGCATCTTCGCAGGTGCCGCGCACTCCCTCGTCATCAATGTCAGAGCTTGAAGCGCAGGAAGAGAACGAGGACTCCCTCGAGCTGGTGGCCATGATCGTGGGATGTTCTGGGGTGCGGCACCCACCAGGGACATGGAAACGGGGGGCGGCGAGCAGTGGGAGACGCGGCAAGACACAGACACAGACCAGAGCAGCAGGGACAAGGCGCGCTAGGCGGGCGCAGCCCAGTGACGCCGCCCCCGCCGGCCGCCCAGACACCTTCCTGCTGATTGGCGCCTGGGTCGTGACGTTCTTAGACCAAGCGCCTCGCCAGTCAGACCACGGAGCTGCTCATTGGAAGGCTCTTTAGGCTCCGCCTACACAACCCGGAAGTTTCTAAAGAGAGCCCTGAGCGGCTGGGTGAGCTGCGATGCTCTCTGGGAAATGTAGTGTTAGGTGCTCTGAGTTTGCCTTTTGCTTTTTCGCTGGCCAGGAACTTTTATAAACTCAACTCAGAGCAGAAGTGGGAGCAGGATCCTTAGAACTGGGATGAAGAGCAGAAAAGCCATCCAGAAGAAACAAGTTTAAAGTCTTTCTGTCGCGACTCAGTGTCATTCAACAATGTAACAAATTTTAGAGGGCGTTAACACTGTACCAGGTTCCTTGCCTTTGAGATGTTAGGAAGTGGCTAGGGATGTAGCTCAGAACGTTTACCTGAGCAGGGTTCTCGGCAACGGAGGGGAAACGTTGTAAAAAAAATAGCATGGAAAACTGAACCGTGACAGTAAACTAGGGTTAGGGAGTACAAAAATCCTTTGACCTCTGTTTCAGAAACAACGGATGTTCCGTGAGAGATATTTTACATGTTTATAAAGTTCAAGCCAAGCAAAAATAATTTTTGATAACAGGTATGTAATAAAAATAGTACATGGGCACAATACTATTCTTAGTAAATAGGAATCAAGGTCTAGATGACATAAAATGAGGGAGGTGGGAGGAGAGAAGCCGGTGAAACTTGAGAAGGAGCTCAGTTTCTCAAATGAGTATATATGTTTCATAATTGTGCATATTCAAATGTGCTTTACAGTATTTCATGATGCATCACTATAAAACACTTTCTAAATAAAATTGAAGGGGGTATGTTTCATTTTGTCTGTTGTTTGTTAGTGAGTAAATGATAAGCTCCAGTTTTATGAAGTTTGAATCATGCCCACAAAAATTCTGTGGAGATAGGGCAGTGATAAGCCCTTGCCCATCCTTTCCAAGGTTTTGGGTCTAAGACCAGAAACACACACACACACACACACACACACACACACACACACACACACACACACACTCCAGGTTCTTGGAAAACTTGAGTAATAAGGACCCCTTGAGCCTCATATTGAAGTCAACATGGATAATATAGCAAGAATCTATTTCGAATTTTTTAAAAATGTAGATGGTTTCTCCTATAACCCAGCCTGGCTTGTAACTATGGCCAAAAATGACCTTGAACTTCTAATCCTCCTGCCTCCACTTATCCAGTACTGGGACTGTAGAAATGCATCACCACATGCAAACTGTAAACTGTTGAGGCTCAAACCCAGAGCTTTGTGCATTCTAGGCAAATACTATACCAAATGAACTACATCCTGACTCAGTCTTTTAAAAAGGAAAATAATAAATCAATATATGTGTTCATATATTTAGTTTTACTTACTATTCACTGGAGACACAAGTAATCGCTGATACTTCAGGGGGATGACAATAAAACAACTGGAGTTTGAAATGTAGGAGATAATCCTGAGGTGTTATGATAAAGTACCCTGATGAAAGCAACTTAAAGGACAAATACTGTATTTTGCTTACACTGTGTCTTAGTCACTGTTCTATCACTGTGAAGAGACACCATGACCAAGGCAGCTTATAAAAGAAAGAATTTAATTAAAGGCTTGCTCACAGTTTTAGAGGATGAGTTCATGGCTATCATAGTGGTGAGCAAGACAGCATGGAGGCAGGCATGGTGCTGGGATAGTAGATGAGAGCTTACATCTTATCTGAAAGTTGGAGGCAGAGAGAAAGAGAGTGAAGGGGAAGGGCGGGGACAGAAGGAGGGATGGATGCAGAGCCAGTGAGTGACTGAGAGAGAGACTGGGCCTGCTGCAGACTTTTGAAACCTCAAAGCCCAGCCCAGTAGCACATCTCCTCCAACAAGGTCTCACCACTTCCTAACCCCTCCCAAAACAGTTCCACCACTAGGAACCAAGCATTCAAATATATGATATGAGCCTATGAGGTCATTCTTACTCCAACTAGCACACAGCTCCAGAAGGATCAATGGCAAGAGAGACATGGGAACAGGCAGGGACGGCTGTTGTGGAATGCTGTTTTCAGGTGTGTTACTTTTGTTTATGTTACATTCGTTGAACTCTGTGAAGCTCGGTTACCTTGTCTGTCTAAAACACCTGATGGTCTAATAAAGAACTGAATGGTCAATAGCAAGGCAGGAGAAAGGAAAGGTGGGAACGGCAGGCAAAGAGACTATATAGAAGGAGAAATCTAGGAGGAAGGAAGAAAGAGCAAGAGGAGGAGAGGAGGATGCTAGGAGCCAGTCACAGAGTAAAAGTAAGATACACAGAAGTAAGGAAATGAAAAAGCCAGAGGCAAAGGGTAAAAGGGATAATTTAAGAAAAGCTGGCAAGAAACAAGCCAAACTAAGACCTGCTGTGGGATGTTCTGTATAGCAAATGTGTTGCTCTGATTGGTCAATAAATAAAACACTGATTGGTCAGTGGCTAGGCAGGAAGTATAGGCAGGACTACCAGAGAGGAGAAAAGAAAGAACAGGAAGG